ATAGTGTTATTGGGATAACTTTTTTATTCTATTTTTTGATACAATTTTCACATGTCATTAAATGAGTGGATGCATTCAATATCGTAGGTTTAATACAAATTAAAAAAACTAATCATTTTAATGACACGTTAAGTTATACCAAAAAATAAAATAAAAAGATTGTCCCAAAATCATTCCTGTTATTTAAGCCATTGAATCAAATTGTTCCATTCTTCCTCATTTCACTCACACAGCTTTTTGGCTTCTCTCCGTCCTCATTCCGTCTTCTCTCCGTCTTCTCTTCTCCATGTTTCTTTCCTTTTTTTCTTAAATGATCTAAGAAGAACTCGGTACTTATAGCTTACAAATAGTACAGATCTCACCCAATGAACTCATTCTTGATGGAGTGGCGCAACACTGCCATCACGATTTTCTTCTCCCATCGTTCTCCTCTGTTCCTCTCTGTATTTCGGTCAAATCCAAAACTGAAATTGAAAATTCAAAATAGATCGGTCACTGAACCAATTCAACCAAAATTAAACCGGTTTGGTGAATGGTTTGTACTTTTTCTCCATAAAAAAAATCGGTTAATTGCTATTGTTGGTCGGTTCTACCACGGAACCGACCGTGCCCACCCCTAAATAAAATTTTCAAAATATCCATTCAGACTGTTTAATTAATTTTAAATTTAGCGACTTCATGGGCAGTTAGCAGCTGCACCCAACACCTTAGCACTAGTCAAGATTCGAGCTCCCATGCTAAAATTTTCCATCTCTTACAATAAAGTTGTAGCTGTTCAAAAAATTAATTTTAAATTTGTTGAATGGCTCCATAATTAGTCAAGGAAATTTTCAACTTATATTTTAAGAGATGTAATTAATGTATTATTGTATATCTAATTTATATAAAAATAAATATTACTTTTAAAGTTAATACCACATAAATAAATTTAATTAGATAATTGATAAATTAAATATTTTTTTTATTGTTAATACCACATAAATAAATTTAATTAGATAATTGATAAATTAAATATTTTTTTTATTTTTTGAAGATTC